AGGGAGGGAGGGAGGGAGGGAGGGAGAGAGAGAGAGAGAGAGAGGAGAGAGGAGAGAGGAGAGAGGAGAGAGACGAGATTGGGGCTGTGTTAGGGAGGACAGGGAGGACGGTGCACAGCCCAGCCCGGCTCCGCCGCTTTACCTGGCCCTCCAATCGATCCCGACCCTTGGAGCAAGTGCAGCCGGCCTAGCTGCAGATCTCTCGCCCGGGTCCCATCGCCGCCGCCGCCGCCGCCGCTCCCGCCTCGCCGAGCTCAGCCCGCGCGTGATTGACAGCCGGCGGCCCACGTGCCCGCGCAGCCCAGGCCCGCGGGATGGGGCCGGGTCCACGCAGCGCGGCTGGCAGCGAGTGGGCGGGCCGCCGGCAGCACCGCCTCTTCCTGCCCGGCTGGGCGCGGGTGTGCCCTGTGCCCGGCCCTGTGCTCTGGGTTCAGGACGGTTTCCCTTCCGAGGCCTGGACTGAACCCGGGTCCGAGCGTGCTCTGCGCTGGGCCAGGCCCGGGCCTCTCCTTCCTTGGGATTTTGAGACAGGGTCTCAGCGAGTAGCCCAGGCTGGCCTTGAACTCTAGCCCAGACGGGGCTTGAACGTTTGATTTGCCGGCTTTCTCCTCCCAAGTGCGCTGCACCACCACCAAGCTTGGCTTTTAAATTAAAAAAAAAAGAATTAAGATTTCCATTTTTTAAGGCAAATTCGATGTCCATTTCTTCCACCCACCTCATTTAAGAACTGCGGTGGTGATGGGGTTAGAGAGGGGAATCGGGTCAGCGTGGAAAAGAAATCAAAGAACCTTGCAAACTCCAAATATATTAATTTTTGTCCTCATCTAATATTCAACTTTTCTTGTATTACAGGAAGGAAACTCCTAAGTTTTTAAACTGCACAACCCCCTGATTCTTACATAACATAACCCGCAAACCCCCCAAATCAGGGAGTTGGTTGCCTCTAATTTCTATGTTTTTGTGTTCTAATATGCATGGTTTTTGTGAATAAGGAGATGGGGTGGTGGGGGCTGTCTCTGATTTCTGTCCCTGCTGAGGAGACAGGAAGCAGGCAGAGTGCTGCCCAATGGGCAGATCCTTCCCTCTGCTAAAGCTGCTTCTTTTAGCACCTCAGTTGCCCTGGACTCTGACACCAGAAGTCTAATGTGTGAGAGGAAGGGAGATCAGAAAATCAATTAAATGATGGTATTTGAGAGACTCGTGCAGACCCTGGCAAGTTCTAGGAAGCATCACTAAGATTCCTATGCTCTGGCTTCGAAGAATCAAATAATAATAATGTAACATTTACACAGCATTTGCTATTTGTCAGACAGTGCTCTAAGTACACGGACACTGCATGTGTTGATCATATGTGCAAGAAATTAATTCCCTGCAGCCTCCTTATGTAGTGTATGTGCTATGACTAACCCCTGCCCCCCCTCTGCACACCCTTTGACAGATGAAGAGAAATGACTGTACATGTATGGTTTGAATGCCCCGTAGTCAATGTGCTTGAGCACTTCGTTCTTGTCTGGGAGAGCTGTCTAGAGATGTTGTGGAACCTTTACGAGGTGGAGCATCGCCAGAGGAAATTGGTCATGGGTGGGCCTTGAGGGTTTAAAAAAATATTTTATTTATTATTTTTATGTGTATGAGTGTGTTGCCTGCATGGGTGTAAGTGCACCTGTGTCATGCAGTGCCCACAGAGGAGGTCAGAAGTGGGCACTGGATCCCCTGGAACTGGAGTTAGTTGCTGTGTAGGTACTGAGATTTGAACCTGGGTCCTCTGCATGAGCAGCTAGTGCTCTTAACTGCAGAGCCATCTCTCCAGCAACTGAGGTTTTTTTTTTTTTTAAAAAAAAATAGTTTTTATTCTTTGAAAAAGCCATATGTTTAAATAATCTGTATTGCTCATATCCATCCACCACTACCTCCCCCCAACTCTTCCTAGTGCCCTCCATCCTAACCCCTTTCCTTCATGCCTTCTTTTTTTGTTGTTATTATAAGCCTGAGGTCAATTGGTGCTGTCCATATTCCCTTGGGTGTGGAGCTATCCACTGGGATATGAGTAACCTACTATCAGCCACATCCCCAAAGGGAAGTGACTCTTCATCCCTCAGCCAATAGCTCCTCTGGGAGCAGTGGGGCCTCAGGGCCCCTCCCCCATGCATGCTGGAATTTATCAGTCAACCTGAGTTGATTCCTGCCATAGCCATGTTGCATCCAGAAGTCAGCAGTTCACAGCTCTCCTTCCTATCCACCAGCTATTGGGTCCTTTCTGCACTCTCTTCCACGAAGTTCCCTGAGCCTTGGATGGTGTGAGGTTGGTGCAGATGACCCGCCCACAGCCGGACATTCAGAGCTACTTATGCTTGGTGCTTTGCAAAGCAGGTTAGGAGTCTCTGCATTAACCATTACCCACTACAAAAAGAAGCGTCTCTGACGAAAGCTGGGGGTAGCACAGATTGTTTCCCCAGGTCTGTGATTTCCACTGCCAGACCCCAGGCCTTGATGTCTTATAGCCCAGACCCTCTTTCTGTCTGTTCTCTTTCCTGTCTGTCAAGTTGTGAAGAGGTGACCCAGCTATTCATTCCTGCCGCATGGAGCATGCTGCCCCATGCCTTCCTCCCCATGACAGACCTAAGTCTCTTAAGTTGTGAACCAAAACAACACTTCCTCCCTGAAGTTACCACTTGTCAGATCTTTGGTCACAGCAACTAGAGAAGTAATTAAACCCCTCAGGGAGGCCAGGGCGGAGTGCAGGGCGACTTTTGCAGGATGATTTCCTGGACAGGAATAAGGTTATAGATGTTATTTTGCCTATTATTTCAACTCCACAGAGGTTTCAGGAAAAAGCCCAAGAAATCTCTGTTCTTGTCAAAGGTGAACCACCAGATCATGGTGAACAGGTGCGGGCTGGGGGCCAGGAGGCCTGGCGTCGCCTTCTTGCTCCTTTGGTTCTGGCCTATGCCCCCAGCATTCTCCAGTGCCATGGTCACCCATGGGTGCCACTGGCTTTGCTCTCCATTCCAGTCGATGTGAAAATGCACCTTCCAGGATTTTTGCCATGCTGCTCACCAACTTGCTTTTCTCACATTCCCCGTGTGGATCTGGTGACCACTTATTTATTCTTAGATAACAACGTGGCTGAGCATGTTTCCATATCCTTGAAGGCCCTTAAGAGCCAGCACATATGTAGAACTTCAGGGCTCTGCTGTGCTCTTCTCCCAGGCCTCTGGAAGGGCATGGCTGACTTCCTGTCTACCCGACTGGTGCCTGGCCATGGTCCTGGGTTTCCTTGGAAAGGGATTCCCAGCCCCTTTTCTTTGCTTTACCTCCTCTTTTGCCAGATCAATGTCTAACTCATCTTGTCTCTGTTCGACACCTACCCAGAAGCCTTTGATGCTGTGTCTCTGTTACGTTGCTTTGCACAAACCATTTCTACTCACTTTTCACACTGGGGACCAAAGATGATTACTTTGGAGCAACTAAGTTTTGACTTACAACCTAGCAGTTTCCTTAGGTTTTACCAAATGAAAACATTTAATGGGGAAGAGCGTATTAATTGATTATTCAGTACACATTTGTTGAATGTCTGCCATTTAGAGTGCAAAGGTCGAGACACAAACATTCTAAAACGTCAGAGAGAAGGGGGAGAGGAGAGATGGCAGTTGCCTGGGTCCTTCACAGAAGGGCGGCTGTGGCTGGGGCCTTTCCACTCTATCTCATGCCGCTCCTTCTAAGCCTGTTCTTATACTGCACATTTGAGGGCTCTCCACACACATCTTACACTTTCTTTAATTCAATGCAGTTCTCCCTGTTTCTCTCCCCCGCCCCCAAGTACAAACAACAGCTACTCTTGGTTGAAGTTGTCTTTGATGCACCTGAACACAACTCACTGCTCCTCATTTTGACAGACTGACTCATGGTCTCATGGGTCTTATGGACCTGGCAGGTGTGTTCCCTCTTGTATGAGGGTTTCTAAGCATCAAAAAGGGAGAATTACCCAGAGTCCACCTTGTGTTCCACACAGAGTAGCACGTTGCTCTTGCATGGTTTAAATATACATTTGGGGGACATGCATACATTAGATTAAATTATCACATGAATGATGTGGACCTGGAAGCTGGGTCTTGACAGGTGAACAGGTAAGAATTGTGGGAGAATTATGGCAATGTAGGGAATTTAAAGCACAGTTCTGTGACTGTGCGCAGTCCCCAGGAGGAAGATGGTCCAGTGAGGGAGGAGGCTGTGTCTAGTCTTTTACCCAGCCGATGAGAGGCAGTTGCCAGTCCCTGGGCACTTTGCTGGTGACCTCCTCTGTTACTGTGCCTGGTCAGCCTCTGCTTACCTGGCTCTGCACCCTGTCCAAGGTGAGGCCAGGATGTTCTGCCCCAAGGTTTGGGATTAGCATGTACACTGTGATCTCAGACAGAACAGATGTCTGCCTGCTTCTGCTTAACGACGGTGGCAGGTTCCCAAGGATCAAGATCCAATTTCACATTTTCTCAATTGCTGTGCCTAAGAAAGTTGGTTTGGTCAGTTCTGAGGCTCCTCTTCGTGGGAAGCTTTGCGTTGTAGATGAGTGTGTCCTGAGGGTATGGAAGGCCAGACTGATGGCACCCTCTGCGTGACTGAGATGGCGCATCCGGCTTCAGTGTGTGCCAGCGTGAGCTCACCTGAACACATGAGCTCACCTGAACACATGATCTCACCTGAACTCGTGAGCTCACCTGAACACATGATCTCACCTGAACTCGTGAGCTCACCTGAACACATGATCTCACCTGAACACATGAGCTCACCTGAACACATGAGCTCACCTGAACACATGTGTTCCTTGCCCCATTATCCAGAGAACCTTTGCCGATGTTGTAAATCCACTGCTATGTGAAAATATTTGGCATGTGAAATAGTTTCTTTGTACAAATTTATTTTTTGGAATGGGGAATGCGTTGACTGCTGCTGTATTTATTACCGGATCAGATCTTTTCTTATGACAATGAGTTGTGGGATTGGAATGAAAGAGAAGAGGAGCTTGAAAAACTGCCTCAGAGTCTCAGGGTGATCCACCTCCATAGGAGGTTTTTTTTCTTTTTATTTTCTTTTTTAAGGGTTCCACTGTAGTTTAGGCTGCTCTTGAACTCACAGAAATCTTCCTGCCTCATTCTCCCAAGTGCTGGGATCACAGAGGTGCACCTCTATACTTCGTTGAGGTATGATTTTTTGAAAATATTTTATTGACCTGGGCGTGGTGGCACATGACTTTAGTCCCAGCACTCAGAAGGCAGAGACAGGCAGATCTCTGTG